TTATTTTTTTGGCCTTTTGTTGGCTTTATTGATAGACAGCTGTAGAGAGACAGGAAAGGTGGGTGGAGAGAGAGGGGATGGGTATATGGGTCACCAGCTATACCGACTGAGCTAACCGGACGCCCAAACTTCTTCGTCTTCCTATCTATTTGTGACTCCATATATGCTATGGTCTTCTTGAGGACCTGAAATCTGAGCAGTTAAAAAAAAAGTAAGTTTCCCATTTCAAATTGTTCCTGTTGAAGGACTTTTAGAGGGCCTGAAATAACAGATATTTTTGTTGGCCACCTAGGGGCAGTGGGGACATGCTGTGAGCCCAACATTAACATGTTATCACATTAAGGTGAAAACAGTCAGCAAACAGCTCCTTATTTACACATCCAGCTGTTAGAAGTCATACATTCACTCTCTTTTAGCTGTTTTTAGACTCTACCTGAGGGAAATATCTGGTTCTTTAGCTGCTAAATGCTTCATTATGGTCACCAGCTAGTCTCTAACTGTCTGTCTGCTGTGTGGTGCTGAGCAGGCAGTTTCTAGAGCTTTTTGAAACCAGCTGCCTGCTGCGTCCAAAAATGATGCTATGAAAACGGTGAGAGTGAACTGACACTGAAGTTATTTGATTGAAATATTTACCCAACAATTCCCGCCATGAGCAAGTCCTTGGCGACAGTGGCAGTATCCAGTATTTGGGAACTACATATATAGATGGAAGGAAATTAAAGCATTGAATGAACATCTCAGCTTGATAACAGAATTACAATTACATGTATGCATTAACATTAGCATATGTGGTCTTATTATAAATGTCTGTTCTATCTATTGTAATGTTGCTTCTGGAGTGTGTGCGTAGGCAGCTATGACTCTGGGAGATGTGATGTGATGTCTGTGTAGGTTTAGCATGTGGATGAAGTCATGCCCTCACAGAGAGGCCATCTGGACACACACGGGGTGCAAAATATGGCAGTCCAAATAATAAGCACAAAACAGTAATAGCAGCGTCACTCACAGAGAGTATCAAGGAGGCGTTTGACAGTCCCACTGCTGCCCTATATATGAAGCCCCAGACTGTCAGTGTGAGTCAAATGTTTAGTGAAAAATTCCTTCAACTCTGTTCAAACAGTGCAGTCAGTGCTGACGCAGGACTCTGAAACACATGCATGCAATGCATATCTACACACCCACCCATCCACCAACACCATCCCCAACAGACATACACTGTCCATGTAAATACACAAATCAGCACGGACACTGTGAAAGACTTAGCAGGAAGTCCCATTTTTGTTTACATTCAGAAAATGCCTAATTTTAGTTTGATTGAGCCCGTAGTGTGATTAATGTGAAGGGTAGATGGACTGTCAAGCATAAACCAACTCCCAACCTCCTACAGCATGGAACACATGAACAGGACCCCTCTGCTCTGCTGGATTGTGTGTGTGTGTGTGTGTGTGTGTGTGTGTTGTACTGTCAGAGCTTTCTTTGTATCTTCTTACTCTTGTTTGATTAAAAGAGGGAGAGACACACACAGGCCACTTTGTTTTTCTCTGTATTTGTGGCCTTAGGATTTGACCATTGTTTCTCCGAAAGAGAGTGGGAGAGAGAGGTGAGAGGGGGGGGGGGGGGTGTGCAGTGTTTGAGAGTACAGTAGACAACGGAGGTCTAGCCCGTGATTGGTACAGCCGTCTCTGACTGTTCTGCCTACAGCCGCTCAGCATTTCAATACATTTTCATGTATCAGAAGTTCTTTATTTTTCCACTTTAAAACACCACAAACTGAGCGAGTGCATTGCTATAGGCCTGTGCCACATGGTTGGTCCTTGTTGCCATGGCGACGTGGCGGGCATGGAGACGGAGGTGGCAGGTTGGGGTCAGGCACAGTGGGGCGCGGAGCTGAGATTAACTGTGACTGTGACTCTGGAGAGAGGAGAATAAAACAGCAGGCTATCAAGGACTGACATGACCTCCGTCTCTCCGCTCCTCCGGCTACCGGCGGCACATCCAAAGGAAACTTTTCATTGTCCAACGCTTTGGCTGCAACTTTCAAGATCAGCCTTTTACTTATCTCTGTAAACCCTTGCTCAGCGCTCTGGGAGATGTGTGTGTGAGGCATTGTTCCGTTACTGTGAGGTCAAACACAGCACAATCCTGAGGGTGTTATTTTGCAGAAATGGTGTGTTTTAGGCACAGAGTAACAGACTTTCAGTGGGAATATTTAACTGACTGACTTGAGGGGATGCCACAATATTCGTCAAACAGGCTCCCTCTCACTGTGGAGGACTGTGAGGTGTTACAGTACAAGACAAGGTCAAACTGTAGCTGTCAGTTCCATTGCTGCTGCTGGTCCATCTCAGCGCTGTCCGGCTTCTTGTCTAAAACCAACCTTGTGTTAGCGCAACAGAGGGGTCCATTGTTTTAGTGGCTGTTCTGACGGATGCCTGGCCGATGACTTCAGCTCCGCCATGAACTGTCTCCTTATTCTCCTATAGGACTGGGATCACAGCCGTGCCGGTCTGGGCATGGGACCACAGCTGAGAGGGAAGCGGAGGTCCACCGAGATGCTGGGCATGTATAGCTGTACAGGAAGACATATCTATAGATAGGGACTCACAGGAACAAATAATACTTTTTCAGACTGTCAGTTACAAATGATATCATAGGTTGTTAGGTTGATTCTGCTTGCCAGGCAGGTACTAGTTT